TATATATATATATATATATATATATATATATATATATTTTAAAACTTTTTAAGCATTTTTCGTTGGATTTTATAAATACTACATTTAACAAGTTTATGTCAGAATACAGGACTGTAATAGGTTAAGTGCAAGTATAAAGCAATTTTATTAATGTAGTTATTATGAATAGTTCGCACAGGCAATGGCACCATTGCAGTGTAGCACACAAGGGTCGCACTGTCTTATTTAATTTATTAGCTGAGGCATTCATCAATGCCATATGGTGTCCAATATATTAAACTGCTGCAACTCCAAACACTGAATTTATATTTTTGTGTGCATAGAAAAATTCAATCAATTATCCAGTCTAAATCTAATTTCCAAGTAGTAGTACTAAAAACCACTTGGTAGTATTTCAGTACTACTAAGTAGTTTGAAATCAAAGGTTGTACAAAATTTCTAAGAAAGAATTTACACTTTAAAAAAAAAGTACTCTAAGGAACTAGTATTTAATGAGCGAGTAAAATCAGCAAAAATAGCGAAGCAATCTGAAAGGGTTGACAAGCACAATCAGTGTGTAATATCATTACATTGCAGTCGGACCTCCATTTAACAAAGTCACTATATCCCGAGAATAAATTTGTTACAAGGAAAATTACCTAAATAGAAAATCACCTTTTGAAATACTTAAACATAAAACAGGTTATAAATTCATTAACACTCGTTAAGTTTAATAGTTAATAACTCGTTAAGTTAAAATAGCAATGGATACACCTTTATCTTGTAAACTAGCATCTACTATTTATTCTATAAATCTTAACCATAAAAGAAATCTGCATGGTAAGCAAGAATAGAGCCAAACATTATCCAGTACATGCTACATACATTTTCAACTGAAAAAAAAAGCTAAATTTGTGCATCAAATTATAACAGCATTTAGTATAAAAGTAATTTTAAACATACATCACGACATGCATTCTTAAGTTTAATTGCTACTGATAAAACCCGTTAATTTTGTCTAAGTTTATTGTTTTTAATACAAACAAAAAGGGATTTTACTGCTCTCTCAATAAGTTAAGTGGCTTCAAAAATCAAATCAAAGTCATTTCCCCATAGAATGCGTTAACAAGTTTGAAATGTTCTGAAATATTTTGGGAAATATTTCAGAACATTTCAAACATGTGGATCTCAAAGAAAAGTTCGTTAAATAGAAAATTCCCTTCTATTTGGAAGTTATTTTACCAAGAAACTTACAAAATGTTCTTAGTTTCTCGAAGAAAAAAAATCGCAAAATAGAGAAATTCGCAAAATAAGTTCGTTAAAAAGAAGTCCGACTGTATTTAAAAAATATTGCAATGAAAACTTTTGATGAAACCAAAATAATGAATTAAAAAGAATTTCTTATTGTCAATAGATTTCAGAATAAATATTATTTATTGCTATCATGTACATTAAAAAATTTCTTTTACACAATAACAATATGAGTAAGTACAGGTTGATTGTAATTTGTAACCCTGAGTTGAGGAAAAGCTTCTGCAAAATACTATTGTATTTTGCTTGTTCTTACTAATTTCTTTTTTTTTTGTAAGGTAAAAACTTCCCTGCCATTAATGAAATGAATAATATTTTACTCAGTTAACTGTGATGTTATTGGCGTGTATAGAAGTCTATTTTTGGATGTTATATAAATGTTTTAAGGAATATTTGATCTTGAATTTTATGAGATTCGATTTGGCTACTTTAAATGTTTAGAAGGATTTGGAAACCAGGCATTCATTTTTTTATTCATATAAATCACTTATTAGAAGAATTATCAATAATAAATTATTTATCCTATCTATTGCAAGTAAAATACATTAATAAAAAATACAGCTATTTTTATAAATATTTCTTTAAAAAAATCCTTATTTTACTTTATTCAATTTTCCAAAAAAACAACTAGTTTTTTTTTGCATTACATTGCAATATAGTAGATGTTACAGAATAATATGAAAAAGAATTAAAAGATCATAAAATCAATGTATATTCCGCATATGAACTAGTAATAATATAAATTTACTCATAAATAATTTAAATATAATTTAAATAAAATTTAAATAAAGCTGTGTGTTTACAGAGCAGCACTTCATCAGGGGACACACTGTCTAAACACACAGGAGCCTTTCTGTTGTTAGTGGCAAAGCCAAAACTAACAGTGCCCCGAGGCCCCTAATGAAATATTTCATTAGGAAATGAATTTCCTAATGAAATATTCATTAATGATATATTTCATTAGGGGCCTCGGGGCACTGTTAGTTTTGGCTTTGCCACTAACAACAGAAAGGCTCCTGTGTGTTTACAGACAGTGTGTCCCCTGATGCAGTGCTGCTCTGTAAACACACAACTTTATTTAAATTTTATTTAAATTATATTTAAATTATTTTTGAGTAAATTTATATTATTACTAGTTTATATGATTTGAATTGGGTTTTAGCTGCCTCGTGCGCTGTTCCAATTTGAATTAATGTAGTTATGGTTATTTTTATTTTTCTACCTCCTGTTTAATTAATTTCACTTAAGAATTTGAATTTACGTTTGGATATATTCTGCATAGTTGTATTAAGAAAAATATCAAACTCTGCGAATAGACTATTCTCACATCCATAATATTAACCATTAAAATAAATTTTTGAAGCAAAAGGACATGCATTGTAAATTATGCTACAATTGGCATATTTGCTAAGCTCTAAAATAGCCTGAAGTTTCTAAAGTTAGCTTGCAAGCTAATAAAAAATGAATAGTTAGTACAAGTTAGTAAAAGATTTAACTTGTAAAAACCAAAATGGTTAGAAAATGAATGTTTTTTTCTCTTTGGATAAAAATGAATAATCAATATAAATTATAATTATTAGAAAAAAAAGCAATCGAATTTTAAATTAAAATTATTATAAGAAACTGATACTTAAAAAAAACTCATTTAAATAACAAATTTAATAATACTCAGCAGTTAAGTAAAAAGAAAGTCACCTGTTTTTATCCACATCTTCAACAATCGAAAGCAGTCTAAATGGCACAAATGATGCACTAGTCGTGAAATAATAAGTTATTGCTTTGACCTGAAAAAAATTAATAATCATTAACATTTTCAAACATATATATACCATTACATATTATCATCACATAAAAGACAGGATATCTAAAAAATGTAATATAACTAGAAAATACCGAAATTTCTAAGATTACAATTTAAGTCGATTAAAGAAGCTTCAATGAAGTAAAATAAAAAAAGTAAAGCCGCAATTAGCTACATGTTTATAACATGTAGCTAATGAATAATCTAATGAATAATAATAAAGGTAGAATGAATAAACTTGTAAGGAAAGATAGTATTATAGATCAAACTCTTTTTTACAAAACTAAATTGACAAAATTGGGTAAAGACCAAAAGGGATTAAGAAACAAATAGAAAATTTAAAAGAAGAAAACAATGAAAAATATAAAAATGACATTTTTAAATTCTTCATCAATTTCAAAATTTTCTATTGGTTTCAATTTTTTTATGGAATTTCTGCTGCACATCACAACTGTCCCTTGGAGTTGTAGTATTTAACTGCTTTGTACATAATTTTTACTATCTCTTTTTATTAAGAAATAAATAATTATTTTTCTTATACAGATGACTAAAATATTTAATGTTAACAAAATCGAATTTCACTTATTTTTCTTCGATACCTAAATATCAATCTATTGACTCTAACAAAAAAATACCAAGAAATCACCATGTTTTTTTGTGAAATTTTAAAACTGAAATTTTTATACAAAATCTTAAAAACACTAAAAAAATATTAAAGAAAGCTAAAAAAAAAAAGCAGTAAGTTGTGTATCTATCACATTAACATAAAAAATCTGAAGTAGAACCGGCTGTTAATCAAATCCTTTGGAAAAATGGAAGAAACAATAAGGAATTGAAAGCTGCGAATAATCAGCGATGTAATAAAAAGATCAAAGGAAGCAAAAAAATTATTAAAATAACATACAAATAATTTACTAATTACATACAGTTGAGTTAATGTGACTCCATAAACTTTTTAATACAAATTTCATGTTACTGGCATATTTTATTTTATAACCGTCTTTGAATAGCCGATCCAATTTTTGGGTTTACGACTTCTAATGTTCAACTCCGTAGCCTTGTAATTTTGAACCCAATCCAGAAGACAATGGGACTGTAACCCATAATCCCTCTACCACTGAGGATATTTACCTTCTGCACTGTGGTCGGTGAAAGCCTGGTGCGGTATTCATATCGACCAGCCATCGTGGCTCTATTGCATATTAAAATGAAGGCGATGGTGGTAGCGCCGTTGGCTGCTCACTTCACTTGCGGGTTATAAATTCAATTTTAGAAGCCGCCTAAACAACCAGTGTAAATACACAGTAAGGTTCACGTTAAATCTATTGTGGCTAAAAGTGTCATGTAGATTGTGATACGAAAGTTTAGAGAGAAGGATACCAGATCAGGCGTTGTCCACGTTATCTGATCAAGGCCTTAATAACATAACATTTCTACCAAGCTTAATAAACGATGAAGACCTGAAAAACGGGACTAGGTGCTTAGCCATGGTTTGGTGAAGCGAATTTTATGCGATATTGCTCCAACAGATCAAAAAATTAGGTAAACGGGATCTAAATTCATTATCTAAATTAGAAGACAAAAATAAATTATTTAAAACAAATTTATGTTATTAGGTTACAAAAAAAATTACGATTAATAAAAATTTAGTTAATTGAACAAAAAGTAAAAATTTTATTTAAGATATTATTGTACCTTAAATTTGAACTAAACTTAAAATCGATGGATTTTTAAGTTTAATGTAATTTAAAACCGATTAAACAAACAATTTCATTAATTTTAGAGTAAATCTTAATAAATATAAACTCACATTTCCTTGAGACTCGTTTTATTTTTAAGTTATTTGTAAAGTGTCTTTTTCATAAAAGTAACATTATATTTAAGTTTGAAATAAATGGATATTTCTTCTAAAAAAAATTTTTTTCTTCAGTTTTTATTTTTTATTAATAATTATTTATTCATTATTGCAAAAAATATATTTATCTTTTTCAAGAACTTCAGTTTATAGCTTGCACCATGCTTGACATCATAAACAAAAAAAAATTGAATAAATAAAAAAAAACTAAGATTAGATGCTGCCAGAAATAAATCTTAACGTTTGATATTAAAATTTTTAAAAATATTAAAGATTCAAGAGACATAAAAAAAAATTTTCAATTTGAACTGAAGTTTTTGAACTGAAGGTTATCATTACATATTGTTAATAAGTAAAATAACTTATATTTTCCTGTTTTTGATTGTCTTGCACATTTAGTATTATTAAGATAAAATATTTTTTTCTAGTACAGTTTAAACTTTCAAATGCAGCTAATTGTTACGATTGAGATATCATTATATTAATACGTATCATTGCAATAACTATATATTTTATAAACAGAGAAGATCTTTTTCCTTTGATAATGAAAAGTAATAATGTATACTGCCTTTTAAGCAAAGAAAAAGAATTATGACTGTGAATCGGTGCGAGCAAGGGATAGGGTCTCAAAATCCAGTAAAAAGTAGAAGAAATATATTATTAAAAAAAATATTCCCTAAGTAAAATTGATTTATAATACACTGATGTAGAAACCATCAATTGTATAATCAAAGAAACTAAAAATAAGTTGAAACTATAAATGGTATTCTCAAAAATATTTAATAGTTTATGTAACTGTATGCTACATTTTGAATTTCCAGAAAGCTTCAGCATTTTAGTACATTTAAATATTATTCATTGGCTGTAGAAATATTATTTGTTATTAATTTAAATATACTTCATTTCTTAACATTTAATTTATTAGATGTGAAAATAAATTTAAATCTATCTTATTATTCCTCACGTCACATTCCTAGTATAAAAACAGCTTAATTCAAATTAAATACAACTTCTAACAGAGAATATTAAAATCATATCAAAATTTTTATATTTTTAAATTTGAAGTTTACATTCAAATATTTTCAGTTTTGTGCACACAATGTAACAAAAATAAAACCAATATCAAATTAAATTCAGACTGATTTTCTACTAAAGAAAAATAATTTCAACAGAAACATTTTTTCTTTAAATACACTTGTATGTAACATTGGCTTCTTGATTAATCATATTTTTTGGATGAGTTATAACACAAAACAAAGAGTAAACGTAAAATTTTGGAAGCCACAAGTATTAAAATAGATTGAATCATATCATCATCATTTAAAAATACACTTTATGTTTTAGCAGACTTTAATATTCTATTTTCCAACATAAAAAATACAATACGTTTTACATTTAAATAAATTCGGTAATTAAAGTAAAATTAATCTTTATGATATATTAATATAAAGACATACTAAAAACAATAATATTTCTGAAAGAAATATTACTTTCAAAATGAATTTCTTTATTGCGCTTTCAAATTTCTCTTAAAAAAAATCTGGAAAATATCAGAATTGATCAGTATTTACGCTCCGTATTTTGTATTAGAATCTATTCCTTCTGGCCGCGCACTACACATTAAAACCTGTTGGTGAGTGGTTAGATCTGAAACTCCACCCACTTTTAAATGTCTTATCTTTTAATTAGCGGTAAATCCATGTTTCTTCGGAAACTAGATTCCTAAAGCTTGAGAAATCTTCGATTCCAGATTTAGGTTTTGTTCAGGAAATTCAACTCTGACTCCACAAATTCCCTGGTAGGACCCCAAGAATTTACAGTATATTAAAGTTATGAAAACAGTAATTAAAGTAGAAACCTCTAAATGAAAAAAAATTAAAAACTATCATAAGAAATAGCAAGTAATTGATGTCGATATTTGAATGTCGATTGAATCAAGTATAAGCAGGAGTTGTATGTAAATAATTTGGAATTTATTATTATAAAAATGATAAATAAACCAAGAATTTTAAATAAAAAAAAAGTATGTAGTTATCGACAATGCTAACTTTCATTTATGAAAAGGTACCCCAACATAGTACAGAGTTAACATGTCATATATTAGTGAATTGGAATTGTATTTTTTGTAGTGGTAGATACACTACAGTAGACCTCCACCAAAATTTTATCTGGCACAGAATTCAATGAATGGATACCATTAGTAGATTCATTGCTGTATTTTTGAGAAGTCGGGAGAGCTGTATTAAGTTCACGATCGAGATCGCTCATGTGTTGCCATCAGCAGCTCAGGCCAACGTTGTGTGTGATCGAGACTGAGTAGCAACAACGCGAGGAGGTTATTAATGTCGCAGTCACAAGTGGCAAGTCAACTGTTTAATGAGGAATCCATAAAAGTAGACGTGTTCAAATCGAAGTTTCCGCCAAGGTCGGCATGTTCTCATCGCGTCCAAAGGTCACCAAAGTGAGGAGAGGAGTTGTCGACAATGTCAACCTTTATCCATGAAAATGTACCCCACCATAGAATCACGTTAACATGTCTTATATATTAGTGAATTGGAATTGTATTTTTGTAGTGGTAGACGCACTGCAACGAACAAACTAATGAAATAATGAATGTCAATATTTCCTAATATTTTTGAATCCGGATCAACCAGAAGTTATAGGCAGACAATCAGAAGTATATCAGGGGTGATTGCGAGCCCAACTCAAAAATCCTGAAAATTTCTTGAGTAAAATCATTAATGACACATTTCAAAAAATTAATGTCTCTATAAATTGAAGCAACTGATATTTTCAAAACATGAAATTCTAAATAAATTACATGTAGCATAATTTAAATAAATAATTATGTATAAGTTTACTTTTATCTCTAATCACATTTATAGAGACATTAGTAAATATTTATTCTACCAGAAAAAATATTTACCAATGAAAAAAAGGTCAAGCATAAATTCTACTTCTAATATCTCTAAATAAAATATATAAGAGTTTTCATGCATAAATATAATCGATGATTTCTTAAGACTTCTGGGCTTTGGATTTCTTGCGATTAGCAAAAAATCCGGAAATCCTTATTTTTTCCGAAGCACAATCAGGAGTACATTTGTATTAATATTATTGATTCAACCATTATCTCACACGAACTGTCAATATGGGGAAAAAAGGTCGAGTTAAACAGGTGTGGTATTCTAAAGCTCAGAAAATAATTTTGTCTTTTTGCAAAAATGGAAACACATGAAGAGAAAGAATGTGTTAGATAGAATAAACTTGGGGATTTTTGTCTGCTTTGGAACACTAAAAATGTTATGTAAAACAGCATCAATTGGGGAACCACTTATTTATTTACTTTATTTACCTTTTTACGTGCTTGATAACATGTTCAATGCAAAAAAAGTTTAAGAGCGTTTGCAAAAATTGTGAAACGTGAACACTAAAAAGTTGCAAGTGTTGGGTTAAAAATCGCTTTGATAAAAAGTGGGAGATAAGAATATTATAAAAATGGTAAATAAACTAAAGCTTTTAAATAAAAACCAAACAAAAATGTTTTATCAAAAGAAATAATGAAGTAAACAGCTTAAATATTTTTCCTTATTTAGAAGAATATTAGTTAAAACAAAGAATATAATAATAGTTTGCACACAGTAACAAAAATAATTAAAAACAATATGGAACATAAAACTTACTAACCTCACCTTGGAACTGTGTTACAACAAAAGATCTGTGTTTTTCAAAGTTTTTGTCAGCGACGCAACTGCTAAAATGATGCTGCTCAAAAATCAGCGCTACAACAAAATTTAAATATATAGAGAGAGAATAATGAAAAAATAAAAAAAAAATAGTTAAGAATAAATAAATAAAAAATCCGAAAAAAAGGGGAAAAAATTTATAAAAATCCGGAAAATACAAGATATAATCTTCTCATCCGATTATATCCGCAAAAAGGAGTGCTTTCTAATATTGTATCAATGTAGTCAAAGCACAATATGTCAATACAATAGTGTGAAGATATAATCGTGTGAGCTAATGAAAAGATTATATTTTTTCTTTTCGGATTTTCATTAATTTTCTATTTTATTTTCAAATATTCTTTTCTTCTTTTTTTCATTATTTCATCTTTGTTCATTATTGTTTCATGAGCCTTAGCATTTTTTCCATGTTTTCTCTACATTTTGAACTTATTTTATGAATTTTATATACTTACATCTTACGCGCTGTAAATAAAACTTATCGTCTTTTCCTAATTTTCTTCGTTTTTCTCTTAATCCTTTTTGTATTAATTTGTTGTGCTACATATATATATATATGTATCAAATTAAAAATAAGTTGAATAAAAATTTTTTTTTCTTTGCTATTTACTAATTTGCTAATACTATTTAACTATAAAAATAAATACATGTAGTATTATTTACTCTTCATTAAAATTTTGTTTTAATGTTTACTCTCATCTTAATTCATAATTTAAGTACCTTAAAAACATAATTAGTGCTTTTTTTAATTAAATATTGAGCTAGTTGAGTAATTGTCAGTAAACTGATTCAGCTTTTTAATATTACATCCAAGTAAATTTTTTAAAAATAAATAATAATTAGATCTAAGTCTGGGCAGTGGCCTTAGTATCAAAATGAAAACTATAGAAACTGAGAATAAATGGGGAAAAAAGATAATTAAAAAGTAATAAAACAGAGAATTGTGAATCTGTATTTTGTCCATAGTTTCGTGGATTTGAATAAAACCATGCCTCAATGAAAAGATGAACCCATGTAGATAAAAAAAAATAATAGGTTAATAATAAATAACCCCAAATAAAATACTTAATTTTTCACATATTTCCATTAAATTTTAAAAGGAGGGAAAAAATTTACAGTAAAAATGTTATTTGAATGTAAAAATTAAAATAAAATTGAAATATTTAATTAAATAGTGGAACAGATAATTTTTATTTAATAATTTTAGCATATATCTATTTAGACCAAAGAACATTTGCTTGCTTTTTCCATAGGTCTAATGACCAGGGTCCATTTTTATGAAGAAGTTAAAAGTAATTCACTATGTAAAAACATAACAATACCGAGGCTAACCCTAATATAAAACTTATAAAATGCTTTTATTAAAAAAGACAACAAAAAAAAATTAACGGGAGAACGAATTTNACAAACACGAGTCCTAGATAAAAGACCTGGTTAATAGATAGAGATTCAAAGTCACAGAGCTAATCTTGATAAAATCCATAGGATCTAAGATTAAAATTAGAATGAAATAAAAAACAAAACAAAGGTATTCTATTTTTCATATTCTATCAAATACCTCAACCATAACTAACTAAACATCAGAAACACTAGAAAGATTAAAGTGATGAGGAAACAGGGTGTTTAGCAAAATCTTTCATCAAAAAATAAGCACCGTTTAGGTACTTTTTATGCACTATGTACAGTAACAAAAGGGAAATTGATTTTCAAATACTTTAAATGATCATAATAAAATAACCAGTTTTTGACTAAGAACTTTTTCTTTTCTTGATTATATTAGCTACCATAAAAAGATTGTGATACTTTTTAGTTCGATTTCAGAGGATGAAAAATGAAGACTAAAATTAAGAATGTCTTGCAAGGAACATGAGAGTCCAAGAATCTCACTGAATCCAAACTCAGTATATGCACATCGGACCTGCAACTATTTCGTCAAGCATGTAAAATGATTGGCGCTTTCATACAACACTGATCAACGGTACGCCAAAATGCATTGCGTTTGAACGAATAGTGAAAACTTTGAAAAGAATGTGAAAACCACTCCTTTGCATATCAAGTGATGAAAATCAACAAGGCAAAGAAAAAAATTTCATTTTCAAAAGGAAAATTAAGCACTTTTAAAAAACACCCAATAAAAAAATCATCTTTAAAGGCTTTTAAAATTAAAAAGCGTAAATTGAAAATAAGTACTTCTTAAGAAAACTGCACACCATGGGGAAAATAATTATGCATTCATAAAAAACACTTAAATTAACATGAAACAAATATTTACATCAGTTAAGGAATTATTGTTATTTATAACTTCATACAGATACAAACTATGAAAATAAGATGCAACACACGGCTTCTCTTTTAGGCTTTTTATTTAGAAATAATAAAACATTAAACAAATAAGAATATCAGTCAATAAAAGTAATCAATCTTCTAAATTTTTAAAAATAAAGAAAACAACAAGTTAAAAACACTTTGCTTAAAAAAAATTACCTTTCATTACGTCTGAATTCACAATTATTTTATGACTCACAGGTAAGAAGTTTTTCATGAGTATCATTCCATGCAGTTTGCACTTTTGAATCATTCCCTGAAAATAAATAAGTTTTAAAATCATATAATGTTATGCTTTAAAACGAATAATACATTTAATAATAAGTAAAATAAAGCTAGAATACTTTTTTAAATTAAAAACTACTACAAACATTATTTCAGAAAAAAGAAAAAATATGATGAAAAGTTTCCAAATTAACTCAAAATAAATTAAATGTATAAAGTTAAAATATCCTATTTTACTTAAAATAGTTGATCCAAGGTTATATAAAAAAGAGAACATAATTTTAAAAACAGGAGGATTTTATATTATATGTACTAAATTTTGAACTATACAAATACTACTTTAAAGAACTCAACTGATATGGTGCAGTTACAAAAGAAGCTACTTGCAATGATGATTTCCCTCGTATAAAATATCATGCAATATTTTTTAAGACTTTATCTGCGTTTCAAATTATTTTTCTAAAAAGAATAATTGTAAAGCAAAAATGACAAAATATAAACCAATTTTGGAAAATAGTTGTTTAATATATGTGTATATATACATATACACATATTAAGAGCTATTCTTAAAAATTAGTTTACATTTAGTAATTTTTGCTCAAAGCTCAAAATGTAGAGAAAACATGGAAAAGATTACAGAATACTGAAAAAAAGAAAAAAATTAAAAAAAAAAATTAGAAAAAAAATAAATAAAAATCCAGGGGTAAAAAAAAAGTATATATAGTATATAGCGGATATAGTCACATGACTATATCCGCTATTTCTTTAGTGCTCCTCACACTATTCTATTGATGTATTTTGCATAGACTATATTGATACAATATTAGAAAGCACTCCTTTTCGCGNAACTATGCTTTTAAAAATTTTCAATTTGGGAGTGGTACTGTACTCACATGCATTTTCTCGACTGACTAAAATCTAATCTAAATCTCTAAATCTTTGAACAAAAAAAATGAAATACGTTCTCTAGTTAGCACATATTTTTATCATAAAGTGATATATCAATCCTTAAACTATTAAACAATTACTTTTTTTAAAATCAAAAATCATAAATAATTTAATCTATAATTTTGTAATTTAAAATTTTAGTTGCTTGAAAGTCTATGCACATAGCATGCAATTCAAAATAAACGCCATTCTTAAAATTAGCCACAAGTATCGTAAAAAGAAGAAAAAAATTCAATATTAAATTATACATAATAATCTTGGCCAAAGGATACTGGGAGATCATTGTTCGCCAAGATAATAATTAAATAAATTATAATAATTATTATTATAACTATATATTTATAAAAACATTATATTTTCATCAAGAATTTTTTATATTTCATAACCATCGTTGAACAGCCGACCCAATTTTTGGGTTTATGACTACTAGCGTTCAACTCCGTAGCCGCTGGTAGAATTCGAATCAATCAGTCAACGCTAGGACCGAACCTAGCTCACCTCATCGAGAGGCGAGCACTCCATCCCCTGAGCCACTGTTTCATAAAGAATTGGTAGGAATTGGCTTGGTGATAATTGGTGTTTTTAAAAATCAGAGTTATGTTTAAAACACTTATTGTTGCTGTAGGCCATTAGGGTGTGATTGCATTTGTTTTCCAGTGGCACTGTTTATGACCAAGAATTTGACTTCTGCCACACCCAGACCCCGTTCTCACAAACACGAGTCCTGCACACTGATAACCAGACTATCCCTTTAAGACGCCTGCTTTTTACATTAAACAAAACACTTATTTTAAGCATGTTTTTTAAAACATTCTCTGTTAATGCCCAAAATTTAACATAGAAAATTCTAAGTCAGAGAATCAACTTCATCTTTAATATACAAACCATAAGTTTAAAACAACTTGGTTGCTTATAGCGACTGAAACTAAATTGGCAATTTATTTAGCTTATTAAAAAGATATTGATAAAAAAAAGTGTTTCTAGCAAAGTCACGTGCAGTTTAACGCTCGCTTGCGGAATTAAAAAAAAATTCCTGCAAGGTTTTTTTGTAGAAAGAAAAATATGACTATTTTTGGGGTTGCTAAAGCAATGAAACTTGTAACAATATTCAAAGCTCTAACAAAATAATATATTTTTATGTTTTTAAAGAAAAAGTGCTTTAAAATAATTATTTTTTACATTGTAAATAAAAAAAATTTTAATACATACATGAAAAAATAAAATATGCACGAATATTCCTTGCATTAAAAAAAAAGTATTTGCTGAAGGAAAAATATTGTAGAAAGAAAAATAAGACTATTTTTTGGGGTTACTAAAGCAATAAAATTTGTAACAATATTCAAATCTCTTACGAAATAATAAATTTTTATGTTTCTAAAGAAAATGGGCTTTAAAATAAAATTTTTTACGTTCTTAATAAGGAAAGAATTTCAATACATACACAAAAAAATAAAATATGTACAAATATTCCTTGCATTAAAAAAATGTTTCATGCAAAACATTTTTTCTACTATCATGGAATGGGGAACATATAAATTTTTTTTATGTTAATCAATATAAAATGGATAAATTAACTAAGACATTTTTAAACCTAACTGTGTTTTGCAATCGAATAATTTATTAACTCTTTGGAAAGATGAACCACTATTTTTTTCAATAACATCAACAAACACTTCATTCTTCAAGTTCTAAAAATGAAAATTTCAGCTAAATTTAACTTTTTGGTGCGAGAAAAAAAACTAAATAAATAAACAAGAAATGCTTTTAAATAACTCTGTGATATAGTATGCACTTTCTTCAATACTTCAAAGTGTTTAATATCCACTAGTTTCTGCTCTCTTTAATTTTCACATGAAATTAGTTGTATTTTATTTGGATCAGATAACACATTAAAATGTTATAGTTAAACTCCGTTTAACAATAACATAACTTTTCCATTTGCTAATAATAATAATAATAAATGTCAAAACTATTTTAAGAGTTCAAGTAAGAGATGAGTTTATTTTAAAAAAAAAAGGAGAATTTAAGCCCTGTTATAAGAAAAACAAAATACAAGGAATGTTATAGTGAACTAATATTACCTCAAATTATAATTTTAGAGCTTTCTGAATTCTTTTCTAACTAAAGTGGAATAATCTTTAAAGAGAAGTTCACAGAACAATAACTCAATTTCAAAGAGATTATGCACTTGAATTTTTTATTATTCAATAAGTAGACATCCTACAGTATTGTTGGGGGGAAAAGTTTTACAAAATGTTTCTAATAAAATTTTAATAAAGGAATTTTAATCCACAATTCAAAAGGCAATTTTAATCAAAGTTTTAATAAAAAATTCAAAGACATGCTCAGATGCATGTCTTTGAATTTTGATGGAAAACTTTAGTTTTATGCTTTTGTTTTTGCAAGTGGAGCATAACACAGAATCATTCAAACAATAAGATAATAAATTTAAATTAATTATTTCATTTGCATTATTATTATTCAGAAATGATTCATAATCATTTACATGTTTATCCAGTTTGATTTTTGACGTCGATTCATTCAACTCAATGCCTGTTGATGAACAAGCTGTTTTGCAATGAATACCAAAACGCTTTCATTTTTTTAAACACTCGTTGGCCGCTTCATGTTTATAACTAAATAGTTAATAAATAAGATAAATATGAATGCAAAAAGTTGAAATTAATACGAAAATAATCTAAAAAAATTGCAGTTAGAAGAAGCAAATTTCAGATCAGAAAACAAAATTTTGAACCTCGTGAAAAGAAGCAATCAATCGATCAATAAACTCATTTCACCTCAATTCTTTTTATAATGAGGAACCTGCATGCTTCGGGTAATCGCAGAATGTTGATTATTTTGAATAGTTTATATCTTAAAACTCCCTAAAATCAATTCAGAATTTAAAAAACTGACCGGAATATTAAAAAAAAAACTTAACTTAAAATTAGCCCAAAACGAAACTAACTTCACGTGACACAAAATGAGGCGTGGCAAAATGACACAAATGAATAAACCAAAGCTTCCCATCTAAAAATGTGTTACAAAGGTGTTTTAATTTGAACCGCATTTTTTAAAAATTGTTTTTCTTTCATGCTTATATTATTTATATATAGTTTAAATATATATATATATAGTGTATATCAGTTGCATCCTCCTCCTTGAGAAAATTTTTGTGAGCACCTTTCATCATAATGAAATAAAATTGAGGAATGAAAAAATAAATATCGAAACTACATTTTTTTAAACAACTTTTGAAATAAATTCATTTTTATTTATTTATACTGATTCATTTTTATTAGTTTTTTTTTATACATAAAAGTCTGAACTGTTTTGAAAGTTTTTTATTTAATAAGTTGATCCCAATTAGAGGGAATGGAATGAATGGTATATGACCTGGAATAAGTTTTTAGGTAAATAAAATGTTTTAAAAAATTCTTTTTTATTATTAACTTCTAAAATATTTTATTAAATTTTTTTTGAAGAAATGTAAATAATGCTAAACACCTATCATTTTTTATTTTAGCTTTCATAATTTTTTCTTCAAGATAAATTTTTTTTTTTTTTTTTTAACTCAAAACCCTTAGCATAATGAAATAAAATTGAGGAATGAAAAAATAAATGTCGAAACTACTTTTTTTTCAATAACTTTCGAAATAAATTCATTTTTCTTTATTTATACTGATTCATTTTTATTTATATTTGTCTATATATAAGAGTCTGAACTGTTTTAAAAGTTTTTATTTAATGAGTTGATCCCAATTAGAGGGAATGGAATGAATGGTATATGACCTGGAATATAGGTAAATTTTTTTTAAAAAATTCTCTTTATTATTAACTTCAAAAATATTTTCAGGAATTTCTTTTTTTGAAGAAATGTAAATAAAGCTAAACCCCTATCATTTTTTATTTTAACTTTCATAATTTTTTCATCCAGATAAAATAAATTAATTATTTTTTAACTCAAAACCCTTCAGTATAATGAAGTAAAATTGAGGAAAGAAAAAATAAATGTCGAATCGAAACAACTTTTTTTTTCAACAACTTTAGAAAAAAATAAATTCATTTTTAATTTTTTTATACTGATTCATTTTTATTTATATTTGTCTATATA